CAACATCGCTTCATCTTCTCGATCGTCTGATTCGAAAATGCAAGCTCATCGAGAAGAGATTGTTCATAAAATGTGGAAAGATTATATTAAAGAATAGGTTGTACTCTTTCAGATGAGAAAGTATATGTTCTTTAGTGATTGCAATATTTATTTTCTTTTGTTTTCTTCTCTTTTTTTTCCGAATTTATATTAGTTGTATTTTCATTATCATGATTTGTACCAAGACCTTTTCACTATACGAATATTTACTGTAATGATTCTTGTTGATTTGTTGCGGAAGTCATAAATCTTGTTATGTGAGATTTCTATTGTGCTAGTGATACAAATTTATGGTTAGTTTGATAGTTTTAAAAACTTATGGGTATAAATCATATTTCTTAAAAAAATGAAATATGTTTCTCAAATTATATGGCCAAACACATGGTAAAATTTCACTTAAATTTTCATCCAAATAATATTTGCCAAAAATATTTGAATATCTTAAAATTTTTAATTAAAAAAGAAATAAATTCATCAATTATACCATACGTACAAATAATTGAGGACAAAGTATTTCCCCTCGATTCTCGTTATTTGATTTGATGGTTGTAATATCTCTAAGAAATTATTAGACGCACAAATTAATGAAGAGACATTGAAATTGAGAGCCTTGTCTTCACAAAAATCGAGGGATTGGACATCTAATTATTTGACTTGGCTTAAATATATTGGCAATAATTATTGTTTTTAAAATTAAATTAAATTAAAATAATAATCCCTAATCGACAATAGTTATCTGTTAGTAGCTTGATATATATGTTTTTTAAAGAAAATACTAGGGTTAGTATTATTACATTACCTTTTGAGTATATTAAATTTCATACTTTGTAAAAATGCACTAAATATTAAATATTAATTATTAACAGGGGTAAAATAGATATGATAAGGTAAAATCTTTTAATTTTTAAAACTGCATAAATATTATTGGGCAATTATTTTTTATATAATGAACAAGTAAAAATAGACGAAGAAAGTGATATAATAACTATTAATTATGTAACCAAATTTACCCTTTAATTATTTCTATCAACTATGTATTTCGCTATTTATATATACACGATGTATCTATAAATTAAGAAGGCACTAGAGCATTGAGAGAACCTTCCGAATACGAAAGGACCATATGAGATGCATCTTCGATGTGCCCTCATTTTGGTAAGAGTTTTAAAGGATTTACAATATTTTGGACACTTACATACTATATTAAGGTTAAGTATTTGAGATTTTAATGTATATAATTACAAATTATCATTAGTATTGTGTGGATAATAATCTCTATGGTATTACATATGAGACATACGTAAAAAGTCTCAAACAAAGACACATAAATACAAGAATCTATCGATCAATTCAAATCTTATACCACAAGATTATATAATATAAAAGATTTTAATTACTCTGATCAATAAAAAGTTCAATTTCTTTTTCTTTGTTTTACACAATAAGAACAACAAGTTAAAGTGAAAAAGAATAAAAAAAACAAAGTGAAAGCAGCACTATACGAGGTTGAGAAATAAATTCCTTTTACATGAAAGATATTGACGTATGAAAGGCACCTTTCTTTCTTTGTTTTAGTATGTATTCCCTTAGATTTATTTTTGTTTGTGTTATTCTACTAAAACAAATCATTATTATTTGTTACTAATTTACTATTATTTTTCTCAATATATATCTCAAAATATTTTATTTAAGAAGCTTGTAAAATCGTGAACAATTAAAATGGAGGAAAATTTTAAAATAATCGATCAATATAAATGATATTTAATGATAAAAAAAATTAAATATCATATACTATAATTTAAACGGTAAAAGCTATCGTTTGTGATGATAATTGGTACCTTGCAAACACTCTTGCTCATGATTGACCACATTTCCAATCGCGTAAGAATCAATTTACTACGTCGTTATTTTTAAAATAGAATGCTCCATTTTTAATTTTTATCATTTTCAAAAAGGATATTTTTTTAAATTTTTTATAATATTTTACATTACATATTTAATATTATTTTATTTTAATCTTCTTTATTTTTTTTACCTTTTATATCAATTTAAATTAATTATTTTTATAAATAAAACAAGTATCTTTTCGTAAAATTTGATGTTAAATTAAATAAAATCACGTAGAACCAAAAAGTATAATTTGACTATTGAGGAATATAACATAACAATTATTAGGAGTATAAAAAAAAACTATTTTCCCTGTCCTAAAATATCAAAAGTATTTTCATTTATCAATATTTATTATTATTTGTATTTTTTTGTTGAAGAAAGCAGTGCATTGTTTCCTATTTATACCCCCCTTCAATTACCCCATCACTCCTCAGATTGCAAAGTCCAATTTAATTCTCACATCTTACCAGAAGAAAAAAAACTGAAAAAATCCTTGTTTGAGGAAGAGTTATACATTAGAGAAATTCGTAGCAATTAAAATGATGATGGAAAAAGAAGATCTGGGGTTGAGCCTCAGCCTAAATTTTCCTGCAGAAAAGAGAACAACAACCACAAATCTCATTTCTCTACCTCCTTCTTCTTCTTTCAATAATAATTATTGGACTACTCATCCTCCGTTTCCTCATTCCTCGTCAGGTTTGTTAATTAGTTAATTTTAAATCATGGCTTCCGCCTCTGACTATTTTTATACTGTTGATCTAAAAAACTAGTTTAATTAATTATTCTGCAGATCGGAACATGGAGACGAGGAGTTTCCTGAAGGGAATCGACGTGAACAGGATGCCGGCGATGGCGGCGGAGGAGGAGGAAGGCGGCGTATCGTCTCCGAACAGCACTATTTCAAGTTTGAGTGGAAATAAGCGAAGTGAAAGAGAAGGGAACTGTACTGAGGAGAATGAAATGGAAAGAGCTAGCTCTCGAGGTATTAGCGATGAGGAAGACGGAGAAACTTGTAGGAAAAAACTCCGATTAACAAAGGAACAGTCCGCCGTACTTGAAGATAGCTTCAAAGACCATCATACCCTCAATCCTGTAAGTTTCTAATTGATGTTATTTAATGGGTAAATATTACTTAATAAAGTATTATTGTTATATTAGAAGAAGTGAGGTTTTCAAGGGTATTTTTGGAAATTTAATTAATTTAACAATTATTGATGATGGGTTTTTGTTTTTGTGCAGAAACAAAAATTGGCTTTGGCAAAAAGACTGGGATTAAGGCCTAGGCAAGTGGAAGTGTGGTTCCAGAATAGGAGAGCTAGGTGAGATTTTTGTTTCTAATTAAATCGTTTTAAAATTTTTAATTATATTTATGCAATTCTATTAGAAAAATTAATGTAGACAATCATAGGTATAATAATGAAGCAAAAGATTGAACAACTTATTGAATGTGAAAACCAAATAATAATGAGAAATGGAAACAATTTTTGGATGAGATTACGTATGTCGAGTTAAATCTCTCAAATGATTTTTATCGAGAAGGATGATTATTTTTATGAAATTAATTGAGTGCTCGTTTGATAATTCAGTTATATCGCATCTTTTGAGATCTACTATTTAGCTACATTATTATATAATAGTACTGAATATAGTTTGTTATGGATATACAGGACAAAATTGAAGCAAACAGAGGTAGACTGCGAATTCTTAAAGAGATGTGTAGAGAATTTGACAGATGAAAACAGGAGATTACAAAAGGAAGTTCAAGAGCTAAGGTCATTGAAGCATTCACCTCAATTCTACATGCAAATGACCCCTCCCACCACCCTCACCATGTGCCCTTCATGTGAGCGTGTCGCGACGGGCCCCACAAATACACCTGTCAGCATCCCGCCTCATCGCGTTGGTCCACCTCATCAGCATCACCAACCTATGCCCTTGAACATGTGGGACTCATCCTCCACACCCATCTCACAAGGGCATTATGGTCAAGTGGACACTTATCCTTCACTTGCAAGACAAAAGTAGTGACAATGACAAACTGTGAATATTAAGTACCATAATGTGTGTAGGGAGGAATATAATGTTTTTGTTATAAGATAAAAGGTTGTTGGTGTTTATGGGGGGGTCTAGAAAATCTCTTGCTTTTATTTGTTGTCCCTCCAATTTTTAGTTTTAGTGACTCATTAGGGTTATAAGTCCGTTTTACTTAATTTAGTAGTTAGTTCCTTTTTTCTTCCCCATCATTATTTGTGGGGAGTGGAGAAGAGTGTTTTTTTGATGTAAACTAAACTCCAAATCACTTTATCATCATAATCAATTAGTAGTTGAATGTCTGCCTCTTAACAGTAATTTTGGGAAGTTTTGTTCAATAATTATTTCTTGATTTAATATCATCAATTGTACCTTCTTTTAAAACTATTACTTATATACGTTATGTTAAAGGGAGTTTTCAAACAAACAAGTTTGTATCCTAATGTATTGGAATTTGTCTCCTTATTTTGCGGGATTTTTTCTTGAATTAAACATAATAAATTCCTCAAAATTAGATAAATGCAATTTCATTACTTATTTCAAAATTAACGAAGCAAGGCAAGTCCTAGTCCAATATATGACAAATGGATAAAACAAACAGGCCCAATGTCGAGCTTCTTGGGCTTTTAATCTAGGAAATCTCAATCATGCATTAATTGGTAATATGCAGAGTTTACGGCTCCTCTGTTTCATTTTAAATGTGTTAGTTTAATTTGACATGAGTGTTAAAGATTAAAAAAAATCATTAAATTTATTGTTTAAAACAAGTAATAGATATTTGTGTGGCTATAATTCATTTAATTAAGTGTAAACGATAAATGAAGATAGGAAGGTCAGACTTCTACTGTCTCGAAGCTTTGTTGTTATGTTGTTTGATCTTAAACTTTTAATAAGAGTGTTTGCATAGATTTTTTTGTATTGTTTGACGAAATATCTAGATAGTATTTTTGAATTTTAAACCTAATTAATTAAAGACTAACTAAAAAGCAAAGTCCCAAAGAGACATAGGACCTAGTTTATATTTATAAAATATATTTATATAATTAATATATTGTTAATAGAAAATAGAAAATATATTTGTATACATATAAAGTTATTTAGTTTGATTTTGGTCATTTCAATTATTCGTGACTATTATATACTTAAATAAAAATCTACATGTAATTTTAAAAAATAATATAAATAGATTCAGTATGATTAATTCGTCCGATTTTTCATTTACGTACCAACATTATGGGACACCATGTATGCTTCTGCTCTTGTAAATTTCTCATTTATTTCTGAACAATTATCATAAAGTAGTTTATTTCTCATTTATTCACCTATATCCACTTAAAAAAATTTAATTATTCTTCATAGTTATAGTTTGATGATTACAATTAACAACTATATATTATATGGAGGAGAGAGGCGAGAGAGACGTAAAAGAGTGGGAGAAAAGTGAATTGTATATATATATCAGTTAAATAATTGTATATTTTATATATATATATATGTATGTATGTATTTATATAATCTGGTGAATTATACATATACAAATTGTGACTAATTATACAAACTCAAAATCAGTCCACATAATTAATTTATAATGTTATTCGCGAATGGTTATAATAAGTAACTAAATAAAATAAGTTTGCTTAATCGCGTAATTTTTACTTTATATTATACACATACAATGTGTCAGAACAATTTCTCATCTTGGAGAACTGATATAAGAAGGCATAGTGATCAGACATATTTGGAAGAACAGAAATACACTACCATGTTAATAATCAAACATAAAACCAAAAGATTTTCTTTTCTATAACAAAATGCCAGAATGAGTTGTACTAAATCAACTACTGGCACAAACATAGGTGTATAACTACAATACTAAAATATCTTTATACCAGAAACCTCAAATCTTCAAATACAAACTGAACAAAAAAAAAAATAAGACAAGACAACTTCAGTAGTGCCAAGTGAATTCTTCTAATGGCAATACAACATGACAGTTGAACATAACTCAAAATCTAAAAGCTAGCTGCGATGAGTGCCTTAGCCCATATTAAAAACGCGATGTGAAGTGAACCATTCATAGTTAGTAATACTTTTACTGGATTAACATTTTAGCAGGCTGTGTAGCCGATGTACGAATGGACTTAATTCTCTGAAGCCTAATTTGCTCTCTAAATTTAGCTATAAACTCATCAGCCTTCTTGTCTACATTATCTGGACTACCATCAACACCACATTTCCTTTCTTCGTCTACATTTTCCGAGCTTTCTTCAATACAATCGTCTGAATCTTCATCACTTTTCGATGTTTTCTTCTCATCCTCTGAGAACTCCATCAATGCTGGCTCTAACACTTGCATCTGTGTATCAACTTCTTTGTTTCTTTCATCCTCTGTAATCCCATTTACGAAATCTTTAGCATATAATCTGGCTCTTGCAGCCCCTATGAACGGCCTAATTGTTCGAACAGACTTCCCTTTATACGAGCTCAATTCAAATGGAACACTCCTAGTACTTCTCCTCAATTCCTTACCAAAAGAACCTTTATGATCATCCATTACTATAGAGCTTGATCTCAACAGAGTAGATTTTTTAACAATCGATGATGGCGACGGCAGAGGAGGTGGTGGAGGTGGAGGTGAAACAGAGGATTTGTTAAAACTCTGTTTGTGATCAAATTGATCAATTTTTCTTGGAGATGAAACCATAGATTTTGGTGAATTAGTAGTTGTGATAGGGTCAAGAACAGGGGATTTTAAACTTCTAATTGGCAAAAGCAAAGGCTTTTCAACAAAACTTGTACTAATAATAGCATCGTTTTCCTTAGCAACAACAACCACTGGCTTACCACTACAATACTGATAATTATTCACTATGTTTTCATCAGACACTTGATGGTTTTCAAAAAAAGATGAAACCTCAAGTAATCTAGATTGAACATTATCAATCTTTGAACTAAATAAATATTCATTTTCTGTATCATCAACATCATCATCGTTATCATTGTCGGTTTTTCTACTGAATAAACCATAAGAAACAGCTATACCAACTAAAATAAGCTGAACAAGTTCCCAATATCCTGTTTGGGTGATGATTTCAGGAGGTTGTAAAGGAAAAAGTGGAAGTGCAACTAGGAATATGATAAGTAGCATAGTTTTAAATGGAAAAATATTGTAAAACTTACAAGGGTAGTTTGCATGGTTTGTTTTTTGTTTTTTGGAGATGTAAGGAGCTGAATCTTGATCCATTGAAAGAAGAAGTAAGGAAGTTGAATGTTGTAAAATGTGAAAAGAAGATTAGAAGATGAAGAAGAGAAGTCTTAGGGACTAAGTATAGAAAAAGTGAAAGATGATGAAAAAAGATTTTTGGGAGGAGTGACATGATTTCAACTTATGCTTTATTTCTTTCTGTTAACCATTCCACTATTTTCATTCTTGTCCCTTATGGTCTAACTCATACTTCTTCTTTTTTTAAAAAAAAATGGTTTTTTTTTGGTTAGGTATTCGATATTCATTTTAAATTTTAATTTATTCGATTTATATTAGGTAAATTTAATCAAACAAAAAAATGAAGAAATCAAGAAATATTAGTTAGCATTTGACCCCAAGTTCTCATATATTCTTAGCAAATCATATTTGAGTGAGTTTTACTATTTGTTTGGCCATATTTTTACAAAAATATTTGACAATTTCAAAAAAATATGATTTATATTCATAATTTTTAAAAATTTATATCGTATTTTGTAATGAATATGTTTCGTTAATAAATAACCTTATAATATAATTGATAACAATCAACAATAATAAAAAAGACTCAAACTTATCACAAATTCAGTTATAATTATAACCCATTAAATACAAATTGTTCTTTTTTTAAATTTTATTACTCAAATTAGATCTCAAACTTATTCGAAGAAGTTAGTAACAAATATTAGTCGAAATTAATAAATAATGAGTACTTATAAAAGTTTTGAGGTAATTTTTAAAATTTTCAAATATTAAACTTAACATAAATACTGTTTTTTTAGTATTTAAAAACTTAAAATACAGATATATGATCAAACACCACTTTCTCAATTTCTTTCCCAACAATTCTTGGAGCCATAGAGGTGCTTAACCTTTCATTTCAACGCAACCAACAAATAAAATAAAATTATATGCCTCTTTCTTGCACTGAAAAGACGAAGACAAATAATCATTCCTAACATCAAATTTTACGCCAAAATGGTCTTTAAGAACGAAAGCAATGATTTGTTTGGTTGTTAATTTAGATATTTGGACAATAATTATTTGATTTGAGTTTGAAAGCTAAAAATATTTTATTAATATATAAATATATTTTCAGTTAAATATCTATATTTTTTAACTTTAGATGTGCATAGACATTTATATTGTATAAAGTTGAGCAAATAAACACATGCGTCATTCGTGGCATTTGACATCCGATAATTTAAGTCCTATGCGTTCGAACGCGTACTATGTCACATAAATATCTGCTTGTTCAACTTTATACAAATTTCAAATGTATATTTGTGCACACTCAAAGTTAAAATGCATAAATATGAAACCAAACCAAATTAAAGGATACAAGGACGTAATTATATATTGCACAAATATAAAATATTTTTTTCACTTTGAAAAAAAAATCATTTATTAATCACTGCATAGATTAAGAAAAATTACTTTTGAGAATTGAAACACTTCGATGATTATAAAATAAAATAAATCAATAAAGTTCAGGCTTGTCGTAAATAGAACAAAATAAAGATTGATACGTGTTAGCAATTTATTTTTTAAAAAAACTTTTCAGATGATGAGATTGTTCATATAATAATTTAGTATAATAAAATTATTTACTTTTATCATATAGTAATAATTTATTCATTTGGTCTGTCAAAGTTTATTAGCTTCTTTTGGGCCGAGTTCGATATCGTTTCAATAAGAATTAAAGTAAGGCATAGGAAACCAGAATAAGTATTTAACGGTTGAATGACTGGAGTACTCTTCGATTCTTAATTGAAAAATTTTGAGTTTAAATTTTAAAAATAGAAAAAAAATTATTAAAATGTTATTCTTAATAATAAATATTATAAAACATAAATTTAAATTTGATCTAACTCTAATACAATATCAAACAACAAATTAATTATTTTTTTTAAAATAAAGGAACGGGAATATGTTTCTTTGAAAAAAGTTAGGTGGTCAAAAGTTAGAATTCAAAACATGAAAATAAATATGCAGTAACTAATATAGCATCAGATTCTCCCAACCTTTTTAACTTTGAATTGTTGAACTACGTTGAAGTTAATGATTGAAACTCCTTAATTCCTCCCTAAGTTATTTTGAACTATTTTTACATATTATCCGTCTTCGCTGGCTATTATAAAGTTGTAATTAATAGGTATAAATAGATAAATATTTTCTCTGTTTCTATTTACTTGTCTGTATATATGTCATTCAATTTTGGATCTGCACAAATACACATTTAAATTTATATAAAATTAAATATATAAATACACATGTCCTACATGACAATTATTATGTCAAATAGAACTAGTGAGTTAATTTGGTAAATATAAAATAAAATCAAATTAAAGAGGACATTTAGATATTATGTTTAATTAATAATGTTTCACAACTCACAAGATATATGACCATGATAATCTAAATAAATTTCTTCTTTCTTATTTTGATAAGTAATATTATGAATTCATCGACATATTTTAAATTTAATCGTACAAAATCTTACAATATATTATTTAGATAATTATTTTTCTTCTCCGTTGAACTTCGAATCAATAACCGTGGATCAAACTGTCTAAATTTTTAAATTTATAAAATTGTTCTAATAAGATCCAACATAAAAGGCAATATCTAATATTTTTATGATTTCTAAACTTCGCGTATTGCGATGGTACTATATCCGTATACTTATTTAATATAAAATTACTATTTTAATATTTCAAGAAATATTTTGATTATAGCATATTAACACTTTATATACGTAGAAATATTTCAAAAACTACGATAATTTTTTTTCTTTAGTCAATTAAACGAAAAAGACATTTCAATTAATATAGACTAAATAAAATATCAACTTCTAAATAATTAATTATATACTTATAGTATTTTATATGTTTGTTAAAATTATAATACATTACATGAATCGTATATTTAATTATACATCTCGATATAATAATTTATTTTAATAAAACATATGAATATTGAATATCAAAACTTTTTAATTTTAATATAATATTCTAGTAGTAGGCATAAATATTGGGGAAAAAAAAAACCGTAAACAAACAATTTTTTAAACATTTTTTTGTTTGTTATGGTCTCGATTCTTTTCCCTGAAAATTTGATTTTTTAGTTCTATGTTCAATGCAAGGGTCACGATAATTTTATTAGATAAATTTTAAAATAATATTTTATAATTTAAGTTAAAACATTTTAATTTGAAAACCCAACCCAACCTATTCAAATTTGGTGCCCTAAATCAAAATTCACTGTCTTCTTAGTCTCTCTCGTGCTCGTCTCCCGTCGGCGACCAGCAGGTTGCTGCCTGATAGTGTTCTTTTTTGGATAGTGTTGCTGAGTGCTGCTTTTTGTATGGGATCGCTGCTCAATTTCATTATTTATCGGATAAGAAACTCGGCAAGTGTTTTTTTTTTTTTTGGTGATTTTAACTATTAGTAATTGATTGTTACTAATTGGATGTTCAAAAATGGTTCTGAACTACTGCCTAGTACCTACTGCTAGGAGTTAAATGGTATTGATTGTTGGTCCTGGCCTCTACTGCCTGCTGGCTGCTACTACATTCAATTTAAATGTATTGTTTTATGTTGAGTTAAGTGTTTTCATAATTTTGTTCGAACAACCTTTCTACGTGCTTAGATGTTTTGATAATTTTGTTCAACACTACCCGGTAATGTTTACATACACTCTATCTCTACCAAATCTAACTTGTGGGATTATTTTGTTGTTGTTGTAAATTAATACGAAGTAGTAGTATTTTTTATAGAAAGATGGAAAACTAATACAGGACGGAGCATTGATTCAAAATCTGAAAAATTAAACACAAATTAAGGTGCTAACATCTAATATTTACTTAAATAAATAATTTTATCTATGTATAAATAGTAATATTTTCCGCCAAAAAGAGTTCGGACGAAGCCCTAACAAAAGGCTGGCTCCGCCCCTGGAACGGAGGGTGTACATTAGACATTTTGGACATTTCTTCTTCTCCCCCACAAAACTATATCCACTTATTCCGCTGAAAGAAATGGACAGCCAAGCAGTTGCCTATGCCTAGATGATTAGGTGTGGAAATTTCATCAATCTAGAGAGAGGCAGAGGAAGATCACGCGAGATCAAATCATTTTCTGTTAGACTTTCTTGGACTGGGTTTATTTTATTGGAGGAAAAATAATTTAAAGTTTAGGTGTTTGTTGTAAGCTTCTCACTCTCAAATTGCCAGAGTTTGATATTTTGCATATTGCTATGGTGTTTTCTTGTTTGGGTTAAAATCAATTTCAGATAGTACAAAGTTTTGCTTTTATCTTTTCTTGTATGTGTGATTGGTGATAATTACTATCACTACCTTGCCGGGGAAACTGCAGCAATTTATTTATTTTCACCTATATTTCTTGAAGTATTGCAGATCAATGGGCTTAGGAAATGAGGTGCAGAAGATTCTAAGCTGGACATCTGTGGTAAGCCATCAGAATTTTGGTTAATATTCTTGTATGTTGGGAACCTAATACATATATGTAATATGCCCCTGTGGAGGTGTGAACCGAATGGTGATGGAGAGAATACATTTAAATAGAAAAATATTAGTCAAGCAGAGGAGTCGATTGTGTATTGTGCTTAAGGCAAAGTGTATGCTTCTTACCTCCAATTCTTCTGGCATCTCATCTCCTTCTTTGTTACTGTTTCATTGCTTAGTTTTCCTGTTGTAAATTCTTTATTCTAGTGTCAAGTATAATTGATCCCTTTCTTGTTAAATATTTGAAGTAGTGTTTACTTCACTATCCAAATTGATTCTAAGTATCTGTTGGAGAATAATTCTACAATTCCTCTGTCTCTCTAATTTCCTGAAAGCAATTCCGTTCCTGCGGTAGTTTTGTTTTAAGTCTCTTATATATTAGTAGATACATATATTCTAGTCTAGCTCAATAAGTATAAAGAATCTTTGAAGAACTAGACATTTCAAAGGATCTATTTCAAAAAGAAAAAATAGAAATTTCAAAGGCTAAACTGTATATCTTCAAAAGTATGTAGTGCTTCCTATGGATCATCAACAAATGAACTACATTGTGAAATTTTGATTTGGTTTGTGGTGGTAAAAAGTTGATTTGACAACCTACGTTATCCAGCAAGAGCTAACCGTTGAGCTTCAGATTGAGTTTAGTTTTTGGGTCTTTGGTCACACTAAACCAATTCCTTGTTTTACAAAGTACCACATTCATGTTCTTTTAGATTAAGCAGTAAAACATGAAATATGTGATTCACAAATATATCAATGGCATCAAATTGTGGCTGAATTTAATTCATTTACTAAGGACTCAACACTGCCCACCTATGGTTGCAGTGGAAGTTATATATCATACATCGGAGCTCTTTAATTTTAAAACAATATTGCTAATGTAGTAGTCCCATTCCTCAGTCACTCTTTTAACCTTTTTGGGTTATTAGGCTATGAGCTGTAGGGATATTATAGTTCAAAGATTTCTTTTTGTTAAAAAGGAGCATAATGTTCATTTTTTCTTGATGTCACTATATTAGCTCACTTTTGGTTTTGGACTTCTTTTCAGTGTGGTAACCTTGTGCTTCATTTGGTCTGGCTCATCTTACACTTGATCATCAATGTTTGGTACTCTGTATTAGGCATAGCTCGTATGGTTGAGAATACCCTTATTTCTAGTGGGCTGCTAAAGAGTTACAATGCCGTTAACATTAGTAAAGTGCGCTATCTGGCTGTTGTGATTGACAGTGAAGAAGCTCGTGAAACTTCAAAAGTTCTTGAATTATTGTGTTGGCTTGCGTCTGTTGGTTTAAAAAGCATCTGTCTCTATGATCGAGAAGGTAAGGTTGTCAAAAAATTAATTACCAGCTTGTTCATGTGCTTTCTGATGCATCTACAAGACTTTGCTAAAAATATGATTCCCACAGTCATTGCTTATTGTAGGAGTGCTGAAAAAGTCCCAGACAGCTATTATTGAAGGACTGAACAAGTCCCAGAAAGCCATTGTTGAAGGATCGGATCATGGGACTTTGGTTGAGGTATTGTCAAGTTCCTGGCTAGTTTTAGACTTATGTTTCTGTTACTTCTTGCATTTCAGTATACATTACCTTTATCTTCATTAAAAAAATTACATTACCTTTATCTTCATTAAAAAAATTTAAGTCCTGGTCTATTCACATGAAGCATCATTCTTGTTGGGAATCAAATCCTGACAGTACCACCTGCAAATCTATGTGACATGTGCTCTAGCTGATGTCCTTGAATTCCGCAAATAAATTTGACAGCTCGTCATTTGAGAAGTTAGAGATTGAAAAACTATATAAACAATACTGTGAGTTAAAATTTTCTCATTTCAGAATATTAGACTGTTGACTCTCGGAAAGCACAAAGGCATTCAGGATAGGGGTCGGTGTACATTTTTTCATCTGGACAATGACATATTTTGTACATTTTCTGGATCCAGGATGTATTATTTTCAAAGATGTCTCTATCTAGTCCAATGATACTAACCTACTCAGAAGATTTTATCACTAGTAATTTTCATTATGTTATGTATAATAGTAAGGTCAGAGAAAAAACAAAGACCTTCAGACGTGCCTAGGACATTTTCTCTTCTTTTTAGCAAATGATGCCAATTTGAACTCATGAATTGTCCCGCTGTTATTTTCAATTGTAATGACTATGAACCTGGATGTTGAAGAAGAATGAGAAATGGTAAATAAAATAAGTTCAGATTCTTTATATAATTTTTACGTTATTTCCTCTCCCTTTTTGGTTATATTGAGGTAAGGGGGTGGGTGGGAAGTGACAAAGAGCCAATATTGTTAAAATTAAGTTTATATGTTATACTGCAAATGTCATTAAGGTCTCAGTTTAAAGTAAATTTACATAATATGCAAATGTCATTAAGGTTCTCAGTTTAAAGTAAATTTACATACTATGTCACTAATGACTGAAGTTTGTTTCCTTTGCCGATACCCTTCTGTGCCAGAAGCATGTAGACCTGGAATTTGTCTCTTTTGCTGATTCAAAACCTGCAGTGGCCAAAGCAGCTAATTTACTCTTTGCCAAGCATTATGCTAGCACAAAACCAGAAAAGCCGAATTTTACAGAGTCTGACATGTCTGAGGCGCTACAAGCTGTAGGTCTGTTGATTTATCTTCCTCCTCCCTGTTTGCCTGATGTATTCATCAATATGAATTTTTCATCTTTGCTTGAATGGTGTCTTTCTATATACGTGATAAATTATCAAACCTACAGGTTATGGGGGACCAGAGCCTGATCTTTTATTCGTCTATGGTCCTGTGAGATGTCACATGGGTTTCCCAGCATGGAGAATCCGGTACACTGAGATCGTGTAAGTTTATTCGTGCAGAAACACAACATTTTTTGCTCATCTTTGGCACCACAGACTCCAGATAATGTTTTTAGCTTTGGAAATTATGTTTTATTTCCATTCTCATTTGCTTTGATTCTTTGAAGGTACTGCCACTGCGGTATAGTCTCAAACAGTTACATTATGACAGCACCCATGCATCTGTAGCTTGTATTTATGAATTTATTCTTGTTGGGTTACCCGGAATCAGTAATCAACAAATCGGATTAGGAGGGTACAAGATGCTCTCAATTTCACAAACCTAGTAAAAGTTAGCCCTTATTTGAATATTTTTCCATATTTTCCTTGAGGTAGAATCTTGGTTGGAAATTTGCTAATGTTACTTGAGTGAGTATGCACTATTTTTTGTACATGTTTCAAAAGGGTTTTGGATCTGAAACTATTCATTTTTGGCTGCAGACATATGGGGACCTTGAAGTCCATGGAATTTGGTTCCCTCTTAAAAGCCATCCACAAATTCACAAAGGTGCATCAAAACTATGGTATGTTCGACATTAATAGCTGTGACCTTGCTCTTTTTGCATGCCAGCCCTGAACCTCATTGTCTCTCCTTTACCACATTAGAGAAAGGAAGGAAATTATGTCTTAAGGTATATCTTGTGTTTGATTTGGTTGATTTAAAGCTTCAAATTTCAGTCCAGAAATCAAACTCCTTTAAAGGTGTGAAAAATGAGAATTTTCGAAGTGCTTTTTGCGGACTCTCCTAAACTGTTGTAGTGGCGTATCTGTTTGGTATTTAACCATGATTTAGGACACAGAATGTTTCTATAATATGTTGATGAATGTCCAACTGATCACATCAATCGCCTTTCTATCCTTCCCTTCATTTACATATAACTGATTCTGCAGGTTTAGTTTATAATGAACCAATTTGAGTTGCTCTTCACATTTCTGTTTTCAGGCCAATGAACAGTTGCAGGTGGAGTGATTTTTCTTATGCAACAACATTGTTACACTTCTCAGCACTAACAACACACAGTCAGCAACATCTTATATATTTGTACTGTTCCAAGATTTCATACAAAACAAAATCTAGTGTTAAATTTTTAACAAGTACCACTGTTTTGACTATTATTTTGCACATTTGTTATATAGCTAGTTAGAGATACCTCCTCTTATGAAAAATTATAGGAGCTTGTGATGGTGTATTAGTGAATTGGACGCAAAGTTGTGTTGAGGACAGTAATAACTTACTTAATTGGTTGACAACTTAAACTTTTGTTTTGTTGGTGAGTGTTTGATTTTTCACCGTGTAATTCTCTCACCCATTTCTTTAAATATATCTTATAAAGAAATTAAGGATAATAAATTAATATATGTAAGTGTTCGTAAATCAAATATATTTTGCCAAACATGTAAAAAGATGTCTTTTCATTAAGTAATTTTGTTCATTCCTATTAAACAGTTACAAAGTATACCTATACTCTTTTTTAACCAAATGCGTGAATTCCTTATTTAAAATTTTATTAAAATATACATGAACAAATTTTACTTAGGATTTTATTTTAGTTTTGATGAACAGTATTATCTGGTAAAAATAAAAGAAAACCCAAATATTTACCATAATTACCCCTTAACTCTTTCATTTTATATGTATGCTTCTAATATTTTCACGTAATATCTCAAACAATCCTTCCTAATTTTCAAAAGGAAAATGTCCAATTAGTTAACAACTTCTTGAAAAAGTCCTTTTTTTACTTTGTTGTGTATCATATTTGAAGAAATACAATGCCTTTACTCAATTAATCTATTCTACTACCACGACAAATGGCAATTCATTCTCATAATAATTGTGGGACATTAACATTTCTGAAACGGTGGGGGAACGTTAACATTTTAAAAAAATAATAATAATCGAAAATATCTTTAAATTTTAAAGAAAATTATTAATTTTATTTTTAAATTATTAACCGTTTTAAAAATTTGCTATACTAGACTACTTATATTTAGATAAATTTTGAATTGTCTCAAAGGGCTGAATTTTGGAGTGACGAAGAAAAGCATAGAGTTGTGATGAGAGAATCAATTCAACTTCCCATAATCGACCTTACTTCCCCTGATCCTATTTCCACCGCTGGAGCAATTCGTCAGGTTTTTCTTCATTATCTCAAATTGAAATTGTAAGGTCAGGTATAATATACATATATTTATTGTGAATTTTGGCGTAGGCATGTGTAGATGTTGGGTTCTTTTACCTAATAAATCATGGAGTAGACGAAAAGTTGTTTAAGGAAGTGCTTGAACAGAGCAAAAACTTCTTCTCACTGCCCCTTGAAGACAAGATGAAACTGGTACGAAGGAACCACAGAGGTTATACTCCCCTTTATGCTGAGAAACTTGATACCTCTTCTACTACACAAGGTACTCTTTTTTTTCACTTTAGTATGGAGGAGTTTTTTTTTTTTTTTTTGGGGGGGGGGGGGGGGAAATAAGTGGTTTCTTACTATTTTAGAACTTTTAATTGTGCTGCTGAAATTAAATGGATTTTATTGAAACAATATGATTAAAACATTTTGGTTGAGTTGGTCCCGATTATGTGGTAAATCAGTTAATTTAGTTAGGCATAACCGTAGATTAAGCTACGTTGGTCATGTGCATGGGCTTGTTTACCAAAAGAAATAACTCACTGCATAGGAGAATGCTGTTGTGTATAGATTATCCTTTGCTGTCACGTTTCTTTAGTACGCTTTTATTGGTTACAGTTTCGAGTTGATTTGCATTTGGGGATAATAATGAAGGTAGCTTAAATCAATCTTGAGTTAATCGTTTCATCATTGGAGTGCAGGTGACTCAAAAGAAAGCTTCTACATTGGCTCTCTGGAAGGAAAGAGTGTTGTTAGTAACTTGAATCAGTGGCCTGCAGAAGGTATTCTCTATATTTTTATTTGAGCTTACATTGTGATCTTGTCCTTAATATACTTTGGTTCTTGAGGTTTGTTCGTCTTTATTGTGGTGAATAACTTCCCTGTAACAAGAAACATAGATTTTTTTTTCCAGAAAATGCTCCTATTTGTTTATTTGTGCATCATTTCACGTATGTTTCAAGACATATTCCGTATTTGAAGCACATTTCTCCAGAAAACATGTGTGGTGACTCTTTGATGTTTTCTTCCATTTGGGATGTTTTAGAAGTTCTGCCAAGTTGGAGATCAACCATGGAGGATTACCATAGAAGAGTCTTGTGAGTATCACTTTGATATATATATATATATATATATATATATTCTGAAAGAGATCTTAGATTTCTTTATTCCTGAAACTTAATCATGGCTAAAATCATTCCTCAACTATGACTTATATCACTTAGCTCCCTATGCTCATAATTTTGTTTGACTAGAAATTATATGATGTTGTTGAAAGTTCAATGTTCAAATCACTCAGCAGCCAAGGGTGTGGCCTAATAGTCAATGAAGTAGTTTGAGAACCATGAGGTTTCAAGTTCAAATCCCGTAAATAACACTACGTGATTTTCTCCCATATATCCATGATTTGGTGGACAGTGTAACCCGGTACCTTGTTCTGGTGGGAGGTAGTAGGTATCCAGGCGGAGTTAGTCGAGGTGTACTTAAGCTAGCCGGACATCAATTACAATAGAAGTAAAAAATAAAAGTTTAACTGTACGTCCAAGATGCATAGTATCACTGATCTTCATCTTTTTGTTAGCAGCTGAGTGTTCTACATATGACTAGATTACTTGATTTGACTTTCTTGTCTCAGGGATGCAGGTATAAGACTAATTTCACTGATTGCTTTGGCATTGGATTTGGACGAGGACTTCTTTCATAAAGCAGGGGCATGTGATTCACCAAGTGGATTCCTTCGTCTATTACATTATCCAGGTACTAGTTCCATAAATGACATCTTTCTTTTTGAGTTTTTATTTTCCCGTTATTTTTAAAAAATAAAATAAAATTCGTGATCAAGACCTCAAGATGGTATGAAATGGGAGGAAAAAGGGGAGACACCTTTGTCGATTGATGCTTGTGAATCTGTTTCTATGCTATTAGTTTTCTTTCTTTGGGTTGCACGTATTTTGTTTGACGAAGCATTGTGAATTAAAAAACTGACATAGTAATGGAACACTCCTTTCACTTAGTCAATGTGTCCATGCTTTATAACTGCATCTGATGCAATACATGTATATCCTTTAACTAATATGGTACGATGTGCTTGGCAAACTGATTTAAATCATTCAAATTGAACAGTGAGCTTCCTGCTTGATCATTAAATAAAATGCTATATGTGAACTTTGTATAGGCGAGTTGCAATTATCTGAACAAGTGGTGTATGGTGCTTCTGCTCATTCAGACTATGGGATGTTAACTCTTCTAGCTACAGATGGTGTTGGGGGACTTCAGGCACGTCTGATGTGAAATATTTTTTCGTTTATCAATATCTGTGATTCTCATGAATGCTTATATTAACTGGTTCTAGAGCTGACAGGTTTGCCGGAAGAAATTCAACCGACCTCAGATATGGGAAGATGTGCATCACCTCAGTGGGTAGGTGCATTGGTCAGTCTATAACTGTTAATGATCGGAGTAGAAGGCGAAAGTGTCAAAACCTCTCATATTATTTTATTCAAACATAACTGCTTAAAAGTTTCCAAAGACATTAGCAGTAGAGCTTTTTTCTTTTGATGTAGTCTTTTTGCTCTCCTTGAGTAGTTCTATAATATAGACTCTATATACTTTTTTCTCCTTTTATGGGTAAGGTTTTGAAAGTTACTTTAATAATGAGCCAAGCTGTTTCAAGTGTCAAATCATGAACAGTATTTTTCTATATCATATCGCCACCATTCCAATGTACTCTATTCAACATTTAATCTGCTTCTTGGCTTGGGTATGTAGTATAATGAGCCATACATGGTTGCCCGAAGTAGAATCATTTCATAACTGCTGAAAATTTCTTTTCCATTCTTGTTCTGCAGGGCTTTCATAGTTAACATTGGAGATATGATGGAGAGGTGGACAAACTGCTTATTTCGGTAGTACAAACTTTCTGTCCTTTTTTATATCTGGTACATGATAATCCTTCTGGGATTAGCAGATGTATTCTTCATATTGCCTGCTTTTGTGCTGAAAGCTCATTTTTCCAAATTCAGTAGTAACAAAATGCAATATGTTTTGTATTATTCTTCTGATGCTTGACATACATTTTGTAGGTCTACATTGCATCGAGTTATGCCAACAGGGCAAGAGCGTTATTCGGTAATCAAAATTTCGTCATATGTTAAAATCCCTTCTCCTCTCAAAGTCTATGTTTTACTTATTAATAACAATAGGTCTGGGCAATATTAATATATGATTTGACAAACTAGGTGTTAAGAAATTGAATTGGAGGAAGAAGACTCCATTGAAGAGTAGAGAGAAACAGAGAAGTAATGAAGAAGAGAGTAAAATTTTCTATTTTCAAAACTGCCTCAACAATGTTACTTACAAGCATATATATAACCACTTGTCATGACTCAAAACCTCTAACTAATTTACTGACATGTCTAACCGACTAACTAACTAACTAACTATATTTACACCCTTAACAATGTACAATTACAGCTAGTATTATTAGGGAACTTGTATACATTTAGTTAGTTCTTTTACACCCCCTTCAAGCTAGGAGCTATGAAGATGTTCTTCATTCCTAGCTTGGACATTAGATACGTATGATGGCCTTTCCCAAGTGCCTTAGTAAGCATATCTGCAGGCTGTTCTAAAGATGGTAGATAGGCAGTGATAAGCATTCCATCTTTGATCTTCTCTCTGATGAAGTGACAATCAATATCTATGTGTTTTGTTCTTTCATGAAACACAGGATTGGCTGCAATTTGTAATGCTGAAGTACTGTACTCAGCCTCAGCTGAACTTCTGGAAACTGTAACCTGTTTTTTAGACCTCCATGAGATAAGAGATTCTCCATATTTGATTAAGTCTCCAGTGATTGACCTCCTGCTGTTTATACATGAACCCCAATCAGCATCACAAAACACCTGTAAACTATCTCCTCCAGTTGATGACATTAGAATTCCCAAACCTGGTTTTGTCTTCAAATATCTGACCAGTCTGAGTGCTGAATTCATATGTGAAACTTTTGGTGCATGCATAAATTGACTTAGACACTGAACTGCAAAAGATATGTCTGGTCTAGTGGTTGTAAGATACAATAACCTTCCAATCAATCTTTGATAACTTGTAGGATCCTCAAGAAGTGTATCATTATGTGAAGAA